TATAATCTACAAATATATTTATATATATTTATATATATATATTATGTATATATTTCATTTCATATCTACTATTTTGTTAACAAATCCCTTAAAATTTTCAATTTTATGTGTAACAATTATACAAGTTCTATTTTTAGATAAATTCTTCAAATCCTAAATTATATTTTTTTCACTCTCAGAGTCTAAATTTGCTGTTCCTTCATCTAAAATAAATATTTTAGGATCTTTTAATATTGCTCGAGCTAGAATTATTCTTTATTTCATTCCACCTGATAAATCTCCTCCTCTTTCACCTAATATAGTATTATATTATTAAGGTAATTACATAATAAAATCATGCGCATTAGCCATTTTTGCTGCTTCTACAACTTTCTCAAATGAAGTATCAAACCCTTAATTTCCATAAAGAATATTATAAAGTACACTATCTTAAAAAATCATTGGATCTTAAGTTACATATGATATATTTTACTATATCCACTCTTAGTTTTTATCATTAAGATTTTCCCCATTAATAAGTATATTACCACCTTATTACTAATAAAGTTTAGTCAATAAATTCAAAACTGTAGTTTTTCCACAACCGGAAGGTCCAACAAGTGCCACTACGCTTCCACTTTCAATATTTAGATTAAAATTTTCCAAAAGAGTCCTTTCTTGGCCGAATTCTTGATATTTAAAAGTCAGGTTTTTTATTTCTATAGAAGGTGGAGTATTTTAGTGCTGATTTTATTCGATTTTTATTTTATTTTTAAATAAATTGATATCCTATATTAATTTAGATGTTTAATAATCTTCTATATTGGCAATATCAACTCCTATTACATCTACTATACCTTAATATAAACCGGAAGTTTTTTTTAATTCTGTATATGCACTTACTATTGCACGGAAACCCATTCCTACATAAAATACATATAGACTAGAACTTAGTAATTCAGGGGAAGATACTCCACAAGATATTAAAAAACTTCCATATGTAAGAATTGATATTAAAGAAAAAAGACCAAAACCTTCCAAAAAACCAAAATTTATAGCCGTATAATAAGATACTAGTCTTGATTTAATATAAAAGTTCTAAATAGAGTTTTAGTATTTAAGATTTTCTTCAAGCTCTGTATTGCATATTTTAACAAGGCGGATATTAGAGAAAGATTCTTAAGCTATTTCACTTGTTTTGGTTAATGCATGTGTTTCTTCTACCTTGCTTTTGCGTTAGTAGTTGCCTATTATCTTCGAGGAAGCACTCAGGCCGAACATTACTACTATTGAAGGTAAAATAAGGACTGGAGCTTTGCATATTAAAGCAGATGTGCCACCTACGACGAATAAAAAACCTCTAAAAATCATAAAAAGGTCGAATGTGAGTGATTAACCAATTGCGGATATGTCATTACTTAATTTATGGACTGTTTTTGCAGTGTTATTTTATTTAGATTGGAAATATGAGACATCTTTTATCATTATTTCGTTAAATAATTAACGCCTCATTCTTATTTGGATTCTATTGCCTATATCTCCGTTTAAATATCTTCTAGAATAATTCATTATTCCAGACAAAACACATATACTGCCCCATTATAGTAAAAAATTTCTATATATTTTTAATGTTTAATTATTTTCATTATTTTATTATTTTTATGAATTTTCATCTTATTATTGGTCACTTATTTTTGAGTATTTTTGGGAATATAACATGGAAAATTAGGGTATTATTTAAGGATATAAAAGATATATGGCACTAGATGTTCCGGACACTATTCCAGCTAGTATGAGGGTTTTGTATTCGGGCTTTAATATCATTAATAATTTAGACATATCGGAGACTTTTTTTTCATTGTTTCTACTGAATTTATATATTGTTGGGCTTATTAAGAGACTATTTTTGAATTTGGTGTATTTGAACATTTTTGTTTTATTTTTTTTTATTAGAAAAAATAAGAATAATATTTTTTTTAATATCTTTTTTTTTGTTTTTTTGTTTTAGTTTTTTTTGTATTTAAATAACGATTATATAAAAAAACTGAATATTTTGTTTATATTAATTAAATTTTAATATGGGTTCTTTATATTTTTCTTTTTAGAGTAATAGTAAATTTATTTTAATATGTTGTATATTTGTTTATTTATTTTTTTATTTTAAAAATGAATTTTAATTATGGATAATAAATATATGTTTTTTTATATATAAATTTAGTAATTTATCTATAAGAAAAATGATAAATTTTATTTTACTTTATTTCTGAAAAAAATAAAAAAAATATTTTAAATTAAAAATATATATTTATTTAGTTTAAATTATTATATAGTTTTTATTATTTTCTACTTATTTTTTTATTTAATAACAATATGAAAATACTAGAACATTTAAATATTATTAGGAATAAAAGAACACTATTACGTAATTTTATAATATTTGTTAAAAAAATATTTTAAACTTTTATCTAAAAAAAAAAAAAAAAAAAAAGTTAAATTTAACTTTACAAATAACATTAGGGATAACAAGTAATATTTTAGAAAAATTAACATATTTTTATTATTAAAATAATGCTATTTATAATAGTCCAATAATACATAAAAGCTTAAAAAATAATAAAATAATATGGCAATAACCAAAAATAAACTAAGAAACCTATATAACAGGTTTAAAAGTTAGAAATAATTTATATCCTGATGAATTTGTATTTAAAAAAAATAATAATATATTTATACAAAAAAAAAAAAAAAATATTAAAACAAAAGCATTAATTTTATAAATTTAGGTTCCATTTATTCCATAAGAAGGTAGAAAAGTTAAATTTTATAATTGCGGACCTACAGTAAAAATGAAGAAATATAATAAATTCTTAAAAAATAATAATAAAAAAAAGGTTTATGATTATTCCCATTTAGGACATGCGAAAAACTTTATCCATGTCGACACAATAAGAAGAATACTAACAAATTATTTCAATTACAACTTAACTTTTTGCCAAAACATAACAGATATAGATGATAAAATAATAAAAAGATCAATAGAGCAAAATTAAGAATTCACAGATTTTGCGAGAAAATGGGAAAACCAATTTTGGAAAGACATGAAAGGTTTAAATATTTAAAAAGTAAAAGACTATATATATATAAATATATATAAATATATATATATATATATATATATATATATATAATTTTATTTTATATATAGCCAGATATTATTGCTAGAGTAAGTGAATATGTTCCTGAAATTATTTAATTTATATAAAAAATTATTTAAAATGGATATGCTTATTCATCTAATAATTCAGTTTATTTTAATGTTGAGAAATTCCACAATTCACCAAATCATATATATGCTAAATTAAATTCTAATTCTTAAAATTAAGAATAAATTGATGACGATAATAATCAGGATAAAAAATCATCTAAAGATTTTGTTTTATGGTTTTAATTTTATTTAAAAATTATTATATTTTTTTTTTTTTTTTTAAATATATTTAGGAAAAAAAGTAAAGAAAACGAGCCTAAATGGGATAGCCCCTGGGGATAAGGCCGTCCAGGATGGCATATTGAATGCTCTTCAATGGCCAGTAATTTTTTTGGGGATAAAATAGATATCCATATGGGCGGATAAGACCTTAAATTCCCACATCATGATAATGAAATTGCATAAAGTGAAGCCTTTTTTAATTGTTAAGTCTGTAATTAATGGGTGAACTATTTTTTACATACCGGACATTTAAATATTGAGGGTTTAAAGATGTCAAAAAGCTTAAAGAACTTTATTTCTATATAAAATTTATTAGAAAAATACGAAGGAAGAGTTATAAGGTTAATGTTTTTGAAATCTCAATATGATTAATTAATGGATTATAATGAGAAATAGATATAAGAAGCTTAATATAAAGACAAGAAATACTGGGAGTTTTTAAGTAATTTATAATGTATAATTTGTTAAAAAGAAGAAGAATTTTGCTAGTTTAAATTTTTTGAAAAGGAAAATGAAATAAAAAATGAATTTGAAAAATGCAAAAAAAATGTGCATTTTTTCCTTTAAAATAATTTCAATATACCTAAAGTTTTAAAAGAAATTGAAGATTTAATTCAAGAAGTGAATATTTATTTAAAATAAAAACCTTATAATATTCCTTTGTTAGAGTCTATTTATAAATATGTGAGCTTTATTTTAGAATGTTTTGGTATTTTTTATTTCTAGTAATAATAAAATGCATACAATGATGATAAATTTATTTAAGTCGTTGATATTATTAAGGATTTTAGTAGACTATATAAGACTATAATAAGGCTAAAACTTCCCAGAAATTATAAAGGAAAGTGAGAATATTGAAGAAAAGTTACTTTAAATTATTTAATAGAAATAAGATGTTTATTAGGTTGCGGTTTAGTTCGTTTAGGATATTAAATAAGCAGCTATAGTTTAATAGTTTGGGGATATTTTAAAACTTTGTGATTTTATTAGGGATGAATAATTAGTTTAGTTTGGAGTCAAAATCGATGATGGGAAAAAGGGAGAAAAAAGCTTAATGAAATTTACTAGTAGAGATGTACTTTTGAAAGAAAAGGAAGAGAAAATGGCTAAAATTATTCAATAAAAATAGATTACTTTAGAAAAAGAAAAGGAGAAGATTTAATAAATGAGTTTAAATCCAATAGAAATGTTTTAAAAAGAACCGAAATTTAAAAATTATTTATTTAATGAAAAAGGAATTCCTATATAAGATGATAAAGGAATTAAAATTTAAGGGAAATAATTATAGTATTTTTTAAAAAAGTGGGAAAACTAAAATAATTTATATTAGTAATACTTAAAATTGAAAAAATGAAATTTATTAAATAAAGTATAAAAATTATAATAAACTATATGATTATATATAAATTTTTGTAATTTTTATTAATAAAAAGTCTTTTTAAATAAAATATATATATGTATATTTATATATCTATATAAATAATAACCATATATATATTTATAGATTTTTAAATTTTTTTTTATATTTAAACTTATTTAAAATGACTTTTTTATTTATATTTTATTTAATCTAAAATACATAATAAAATATATTTATTTATTCATTTAATATTTATTTTTATAATATATTATATAATTTATTATTTTATTTATTTTATTAGTTTAAATAAATATGTGTAAAATTTTAAATTTACAATTATTTTATTATTTATTTGAATTAAAAATATTTACATATTTTTTTTTAAAAATATTAATATTTTTTTAATTAAAAATTATATGAATTTACTATTTTTTTTTAATATATAAAATTAAATTTAATTAATATTTTATTCATATATATACAAAAAAAATGGATATTTGTTTTATAGGATTAAATAAGTAAAATAAATAAAGATTAAAATATTATTAAAAAATTATAATTTTTTTTAAAATAGATCAGGAAAAACAAGCATAATAAAAACATTAACAACTAAATGTTAACCTAATTAATCAGCATAATAATATGAATAAACATTAAAAATAGAAAAATCCGAAATGAAGATAGCATCTAATTAAATAAACATTTATGATTTTTATGGAGGATTTAATATAAAACAAGCTATAGAATAAGAATTAGAAATATTAAAAAATTGCAAATCTATTGTTTATGTTATAGATGGATAAGTTAAAATTGGATAAATATATACTAATATATATATAAATTAATATATATATATTAATATATATATATATATATATTTTTATATATATATTTACTATTTTTTTATAATATTAGTAAGAATAATTTGATGATGCAATTATTTATTTTGATAACTTTTTCCAAATTTAAGATTAAATAAATAAAAATTGCAATTACCATTACTTCATCCATAAAATTGATAATGATGGATTCGTAAGATAAGATTAAAAATAATGTAAATAAAATATATATTAATTTAATTAAATTAAATTACTATAGAAATTATGCAAACTGTTAAAACTTAGCTAAATAAAGTTTTCGAAAATTATAAAGAAAAGCCTCCTATTGAATGTTATTTGACAAAGTACAATATCATTTTTATTTTAAATTTTATTTATCTATATTTTTTTTATAAAAATAATTTAATATACAAATATAGTTATCATGATTAATCTCTATCAGAAGCTTTTAGTAAAGTAATTCATAAAATAATTCCCTAATTTACATATATAACATAATTATTGACAAATCTTACTAGTGTAAAAAATATATGAAATATTTATTTAAAAATAAATAAAAACAAAAGAAATCTAAAATGGAAAAAGCATTCTTATTTGATTAAGTTAATAAACTTTATATAGCTACTGATAGTGGACCTTTTGATTAAAATACTTATTAATTATGTTATGAAATGATTGATGTTTATTTGGATATTTCCTGCATTTATGATCCTAAGGAAAATAATACTATTGAAAGTTCGGAAGGATGTTTACAAATAAAATTATCTGATAGTAATGTTTTATTAATGAAATCATTTAAAGACCATCTCGCTTTAATATGTATTATTAAATAAGAGAATTATCAAAGACCATATATTATTGATTATAATATAGATATATTTTATAAAGGTAATTTTTTTGGTTTTATTTAATTATTATATATATCTAACTTTTTTCTTTTAGGTTTAGTTGAAATGTTCGAATATACAAATAAAAACAAATGATTATATATATAAGAATTATTTAAATATTTATTTTTAAATTTCTCATATATATTATACATCATATATATTAATTTTTTTTATTTTTTTAAAAAAAAATCATTTTTTTTATATTTTTTTTCTTAAAAAACAAACACATTTATTTATCATTTTTTTAAATATAATTGCAGTTGTTTAATATAAATTTAAAAATTTAAGAAAACATAGGAAAAAAAAAAAAAAAAACATATATTCAAAAAAATAAATAAAAGTTTTAAATTTATTAAATATTTTATAAAAAACAAAAACCAAAAATGAATTAATATAAACTTATCTCAAAAAAAGGAGAAGGCACTTTTTCAGAAGTATTAAAAGCCTAATCTTTAAAAACAGGCAATTTTGTAGCAATAAAATGCATGAAAAACCATTTTAATTCCCTCGAACAAGTTTAAAAGCTTAAAGAAATCCAAGCATTAAAAAAACTTTCTCCTCACCAAAATATAATTAAATTAATCGAAGTTTTATACGATGAACCTACTGGTCGTCTAGCCTTAGTATTCGAATTAATGGATTAAAACTTATATGAGGCTATAAGAGGTCGAAAATAATATTTAAATTACTAAAAAGTATGATTTTTTTTGTCTTTTTGTTTTTTAAAAATAATAATAATAATAATAATATATATATAACAAAAAAAAGGCGAAATTTTACATGTTTTAATTATTAACTGCAATCGATCATATGCACAAAAAAGGAATTTTCCATAGAGATATAAAACCTGAAAATATCTTATTATTAAATGATCATATAAAATTGGCAGATTTCGGATCTTGTAAAGGAATATATTCAGAACATCCATATACAGAATACATTAGTACAAGATGGTATAGAGCACCTGAATGTTTACTTACAGACGGCTATTATTCAAGTAAAATGGATTTATGGGGAGTTGGATGTGTAATGTTTGAAATTATGAGTTTATTCCCTTTATTTCCTGGAAATGATGAACTGGATTAAGTTCATAAAATACATAATATATTGGGAACACCTAATGCGGAAATATTGTAAGAATTTTAAAGCAAAGCTTCTCATATGAAGTTTAATTTTCCATATAAGAAAGGCACCGGGATAGAAAAATTGGCGCCAAATATGCCTAAAGATTGTATTGATTTAATATAAAAATTACTTACTTATGATCCTAAGGATAGAATTACAGCTGAGGAAGCTTTGAAACATCTTTATTTTAAAGATCTATATTAAATTAATTAAGAAAATTAAGGTCTATTGTAAACTACTTCTTCTAAACTTATTTATGGAAATACTAATTCTAATTCGAAGTTGGAAAGTTCTAATTAAGAGATTACAGGGCTAATTAAAAATCACAGTCTTTTGAAAAATGTAAATTAGTAAAATATGAATACACTTAATTAAACAATTAAGTAATAGAATGGTAATTAAAATATTTAAAAAGATGGTCCTGAAAATGTTTTTTATCCAGTACTTTCAATTAAAAAAGCTATAAATCCTTATCATAAAAAAATACCTTCAACTAAAAAAATATATTAATAATAATAATACTAATTATAATACTATTAATAATAATAATAATAATAATAATAATAATAATAATAATAATAATAATAATTTTTAAATGTTAATTTAAAAATAGAAGGTGCATATAATAATTCAGGTACTGATGAGGATATTGAATTCAATAAAAATAAAGGATAATTTTTACCGCCTATTAAAAACTAAACTAATTATGTAAATCCTTTAATGCAAATTGATGCCAAAATTAGTATTTATAAACCCAAAATTAAAATGGGTTATCCATTTTAGAATAAAAAATATAAAAAAGCTAATGATGATTATATAATTTTTGGAAAAAAACCAACTTATAGACAATAATGATTTTCTTTATATTATAATTTTTTTTTTTTTTTTTAGTTTATAAAAATAATTTTATATTTTAATTTTTTATTTTTTTTAATAATATAGAAAAAATTTTTATTAAATAGATATTTTTGTTTTATTTTTATTAAATGTATTTTTTTGTGAAAAAATTAATAAAATTTTAAGAGAATTTATTTCATTTTTTAATCTTTTTCTTTCCTAATTATTATGACTATTGTTATTTTTTTTTTTATTCAGCTTCTGAATCAGAAGAGTCTGAATCCGAATCATCTGAAGAGTTTCCAGATTTAGATGAATTATCGAAAATTTTAACTTAGTTTTTGCTTTCTTTATTATTATTTTAAGGCTTTTATTATTTTTTATCATCTTCTTTTAGATCCGAGGAATTTTTTTTATGTTTAGATTCTTCAATAACCTATTAAGCCTATTTATTTATTTTATTATAAAAAAAAAAAAAAATTAAATTGAAATAATTTTTGTTTACTTTTTCATTTTTTTCTTATTATTTAGAATCTTATTTATACTCCTTTTTTGTGTTTTTTTAATCTTCTATTTTTAGCTTTTCTTTTTCGTTTTCAAATTATTAATTTTTTTATTTTTCCTCATAATTTTTCATGTTTATTTTATATAGTTCTTTTGCTTCTTCTGCTTTTTTTAAGTATTTCTTTTATTTATTTTCTTAAATATTTATATACTATTTATTTATTTTTGTTAACTTTTTTCTTTTTATCAGGAAGTTATTTCCATTCTTAACTGATTAATTTTGCAATTTCTATAATTGACATTTTAGGATTTTACTATTTTAATTCGACTTATCTTTTACTTTGAAAAATAAAATATGATGATAAGTTTTTCTTAGGTTTGTTTGGGTCAACAGCTTCTTTCTTTTTTTTTTGTCTTTGACTTTTGCTTGCATTTTTAGCTTTTATTTTAATTAAAATATAGGACTTATATATATATATTACAATAATCGATTACAAAATTTGCTAAACTTTAAAGTTTTGTCCCCAAATCATGTAAAAATGTATTTATATTCTATATATATATAATTTTTATTTTATTTTTTATATAATTCATATAATCTTTATTTGTTAACATCTCCCATTTTAATTTCTTTTTTGTTTTGTTTTTTTTTTTTTTTTTCTTAAATAATATTTATTTTTATCTAAAATTATTTGAAATTATCGTAAAAATAAATTTTAGAAAATAAAAAATATCTTAATTTTAATTAAAATATTTATTAAAAATATTTTATTACTTAAAATTAGTATATTTTCCATGTATTTAAATTTTATATATAAATGTAATTTTAAATGAACATAATTTATATATATTTTTATAAATAGATATATACAAATTATTAAAAAAAAAATCTTAAAATATATTTTTATATATATTAAAAAAATAATAATATATAAATAAAAAAAGTCTTCAATTCATAAATTTTTGTCCATATAGTAAAAATCAATCATCTTTGTATTTTTATTTTTTAATAAGATTTAATATACCTTTAAGAATTAAAAAGCATACATAATTACCTGAATTCCAGACCAAATTACTAACCGGAACCCCAATATAACCCGGTGCGTTATTGAACTATTTAAGGAATTTAAATTTGACATCTTTCCACAATTCATGTGAAAGTTAAATATTCATATAGACATCATCTTTTCCATTAACTCCTTTTATATATTTCGGTGCAATTACCCTTCCTAATAAAGACTAAAGAATAGTCATAGCAAAGGAAAGAAGATAAGACTAATGAGTTAATTATTTACTTTTTTTGAGCATACAAATTAATAATGGAATAAACCAAATATGATGAGTACTTGTAATGATTCTTAATTTAGTAGTAGTAGGCCATGTAATATATTAAGAAACTCCAATAGGAAATTTTCCGGTTAAAAAATAGCCTAATAAATCCACATACCATAAACATTAATCAATAGATATTATTACTAGACAAGAACCTACTGTTAATGAACTGTTTCTTAATAAAGCACTTATTACTGTTATTAAGGCAAGATTACATGCCCAGGCCATTTCGTAAAATACATGAGGACCGTTTTATTTCAAACGAACTGATAAAATTAGTATTAAATACATTACTAATAATGGAAGGGCTTTTTTTTTGGACCATTTAGGCAATTTTTACTTTATTTCAGGATATTTATCTTCTAAGTAATTTGATAGTTTTACATTTAAGTATAATGTGGATACTATTGAGAGTATACATGAAAATATTGGATGTGTATAGCTGTTATGCTTTTAATCGGTTGGATTTGGTACAAATGCCCAGTTTAGATTTTTATATATTGCAGATTATAATTGGCCCATTTTTTATATTTTTATTTTGGATTTTTTTTAGTTTTTTTTTATTTTTTATTTTTTAATTTTTTTATTCGAATATTACTTTTCTTGTTTTTCTTCCTCTTTTTTTGTTTTGTTTTATATATAATTTTTTTTTTTTTTAATAAAAAAAAAAGATTAAATTTAATATGATTATAATTTTTACAATAAAATTTGGCTCTATTATAATATTTTACATTATTATTTATATTTTTAGTGAAAACTTATAATTTATTTTTGTTGTAAAATTAAAGAAAAAAAAAATAAAAAAAATATTAAAATTTAAAAAAAATTTCTAAGTTATTTTTTTTTTTTTTTTTTTTTTTTTTTTGATTTTAAAAATTTTTTTATTTTGTAAATTTTATTAAATTTGTAAAAAAATGTTGGGGTTTTTTTTTTTTTTTTTTTTTTTTTTTTTTTTTTTTTAAAAATAACTTTTCTGGTTTTTTTCCCCCTTTTTTGGTTTGGTTTAAAAAAAAATTTTTTTTTTTTTAAAAAAAAAAAAAGGATTAAATTTATTTGGTTTTAAATTTTTCCAAAAAAATTGGGCCTTTTTTAAAATTTTCCCTTTTTTTTTTATTTTTTGGGGAAAAATTTAAATTTTTTTTTTTTTTAAAATTAAAGAAAAAAAAAAAAAAAAAAATTTTAAAATTTAAAAAAAATTTTAAGGTTTTTTTTTTTTTTTTTTTTTTTTTTTTTTGGTTTTAAAAATTTTTTTTTTTTGTAAAATTTTTTATATTTGGAAAAAAAAGTTTGGGTTTTTTTTTTTTTTTTTTTTTTTTTTTTTTTTTTTTTTTGATCAAATTAAGAAAACTTTTAATTCTTTTCCTTCTAAAGTGGCTTCGTTATAATTGTCAATAAAATTTTGGGCATCTTTTAAATTTAAAAAATGAACTTCAGCTTCCATTATACTCTATTTTATTAATGAAAATATAAAAAAGTTATATATATTTTTTTTTTTTGCATTTAAAAAAAAAAAAAAAAAATCAAATACATTATTATTTTTTCCTGTATAAGTAGTTGTAATTTTTTCAATTTATATATTATTTTTTTCAGAAGCAAGTTCCTTTATATTTATATTAAACAAAAAATAAATAATATTTTATTTTACAAATAATTCGTTTGTGTTTATCATCCAAGGCATATTTTAAATTTTTACTACATATCCTTTATTTAAAACAATTTTTCTAGGCTAAAAACAAAAAAAAATGAGATAATTTAATTATTATTTGATTACTTAAATAACAATTTGCTTTTATTAATTTTATTATTATTAATTAATAGAAGGCTTAGAAATGGGACGAGATATCTTTCTTACAATTCTGTTTTCGTTATTATTTTCATTATCATTATTATTATTATTTTTATTATTATTAAATTAATCATCATAATTAAAATTTTAATAATTATTTTAATTTTTGTTGCCCCGTCTAATATAATTTCTTCTATTATTGTTATTATTATTATTATTTCTTTAATTATTTTAGTTATTTTTCTTATCTTAACTAATCAATTAATCTAAATCAACTCCATTTTCTTCCATTTTATATTTTTTTTTTTTTTAGTTAAATTAATAATAATATATGTATATATATAGATTTTTTTTATTACTTATATATATATATATATATATATACTTTATTTTTTATTTAATCGAAAGTAAGATATTATTTCCTTTATCTCAAAAAAAAAAAAAAAAAAAAAAAAAAAAAAAAAAAAAAAAAGGGGGAAATTTTTTTAAATTTTGGCCTCTTTCAAAAAAAAAAAAAAAAAAA